TTCAACTTCAAAACAAAAATATGAAATACTCGATAAAATAAATCTATTAAAGGACTCTTGCCTTTTTCAATCAAATTCAAGTTTGTAATGGACTGATTTTGTCGTTGAACAATATAACTTAATACATTCATGACCATGTTACATAAATTAATTTGAAATCTAAAAAATTATATGAATATAACAAAAGTTGCATTATATTATTTACAGATAAAACTACAATTGAACAATAATTTATAAAATACTTGTATACAGTTCATATGTACTATAGTACATATGAATTTACAAATGATTTTCAAAAAAAGGTATTAAATTAGTTTGACTTTGAGATATTTAATTTYCTATGGTAACAAATTTATTACTTGTATATTAATTAACTTACTCAGGTTGGAGAGTAGGATCTAATAAATTAGAAAAATGTAAATGAACTACACGAACTAAAAAATTTAATGATAATTGACTGTGTAAATGTGTTATAAGATGATCAATATATATATAAGCTTTAGGTCTTAGTGAAGATTTTGAAGACCAACTTTTTCCAGTAATTAAGGTCTCATCTAAAAATTTATCCATATATGGCAAAAATTCTATAAAAATAAAATCATGAGAATTATATATGACGTATTTTTTTACTCAACTTTTTAACATATTATCCGAACATACCATGTTTGAAATCATTAAGTACAACACTTTCAAACCCAGAGAGCAATTCTGAACGAATGCTAGTAATATCTGATGTTACATTACAGTTCATCAAACTTATAATTTTACCAGGCAATGAAGGACAATGTATACGAACTCCATCCTTGATACCTTTTACGAATTGTGAAAAAAAAAACAATAACCTCACTTGAGCATGTTTTAAATCTATCACTAAATCTCTGTGATCTGGTCTGAAATATAATTAAAAACATAGAATATATATAATTATTGTAAATTAATTTTTAATTAATACTATTATAAAAACAATTAAGTCAATTACTTATAAGGGATATCCAAATTAAAAAATCTCACAAGTACTGGAATCAATTCTAAAATGTCTTTCTTAAAATCTGGAACTTCATTATAAAATGAATAATATATTTTCAATAGCGATGCGATTTCTTTCAAAACTTTAAATGATAGCTTTCCCATTGGAACAAATGCATACTAAAAATAAACAAAATATAAATATGTTTTATTAAGAATTGAAAAACTAGACTTCAAATTAAGTTTATAAAATTAATAAGTAAAAAAAAAATTGTATATAAAATACTTAAACTTATAACAGTTTACAATAAATAACATAATAAATCATACCAATTATGTGTAAAATATCAAAATAATAAGTAGATTAGCATATTATTCAAAAATAAATAATGCTTATTATATTTTAATTATGGGTGATCAAATTTAAAATATAAATTATATTTTAATATAATTAAAATAATTTATAAGTATGTTTGATGATTATTATAAATGTATAACAAAATATACATAAATATTACCAATACTTACATTAACAGAGTTTCTTGTAACAGTTGTAGGTACACGAATAGTAGTGATTAATACTTTTAAATCAGAAGTCTTTTGAAAATTAAAAATTTTCTCTAGGCTACTTGAATTGTTATATATTTCCTTAATAAACATTAACAATTTAAAAATCTGAAAAAATAATTATTTGCAGAATTATTCATATTAATTATTCATAGAACAATYCTAAATTGGAAACCAATGGGAATGATACCATGAGTAAGACCCAGGAAAAGGTGGCTGGATGTTATGGATAAAGACATTGAAAGACTGGGAGTACAGGAATGGAGGGAAATAGTTCAGGACCATGAAAAATGGAGAGATATTGTGATGGCGGCCAAAACTCTTAGAGAGTAATAAGTGCCAGAGAAAGAAGAAGGATTATTCATATGGATATATAATATTTTTTACTATATCTTCTAAAATTTTATAGTTTTACATACAACAACAAACTAAGTGCCAGATTGATAACACATAAAAAATATATTTATATATATTTTTTAATTATATAGATAAAATTTCATGAGATTAATTATTAATATATATTTTAAAAATCAGTAAAATTTACTTTATATATATATAATTAATAGTACACAACAATATAATAGATATACCTCTGCTTTTAAAACACAATCGTATTTTGGTTTGAAAGAGTTCAGTAGATCCTTAAGGATTAATAAACTACAAAGCACATTCTCTTCATTATCAGTTTCAACAACTTGTGTGCACAACTTAAATATGCTGTGAAAATGAATTTTTGATTGTTCGTGTTTAGGAAGAACTCTATTAATTATTTGAAGTATCAACTTTCTTAATTTCTGTAAAATTTACAATACAAATATTAGTTTAAAAAAAAAATCTAAAAATTATATTAATAAATATATAATTTGATGGGAAAAGTGATACTCGCATGTGTTGTCTGTGTCTTACAAGTGCGTAACACACATTTAGCTCCGTTAGTCTAAAATTTAGAGTGAATTTATTTCTTACCTAATTTAATAATATGATTATTATCTAGTTACTCATTGGCTTTTAACATATTTTTATTTTAACTCGAGTTATTAGTATTTAAAGATGATAAAAAGCCTAAGAGATAATAAGAATAATAATACTAGATAATAATCTTACCTTTAAATTTTATAAAAGGTTAATTCACTATGAATTCTTAATTAACCTACTTAAACATGATCTGATAGCATAACATTTTCTATGCTACACACTTTTTAGATGGAGACAACACATGTGGGTTGTTCATGTCCTCTTGATAAATATATTTTTCTTCTATTAAATGATACTTACAAATAAATCATTATCTGGGCTAAAAACTGGTTCAGTTGAGTTAAACAGCTTAATTAAAACAATAAGCATATTATCAAAGTAAATTTTGGTTCGGCAACATTCCTGAAATTCAAATTTAAAAGAATAGTTATTAATTATACTATTTGAGAATTATAATATGGTTTTTTAAAGTAGAATTCAAATTACCTCCATAGTATCAGAAATTTTACGTACAAGCTGCAGTTTGACCTTAACATTCACAGCAGCATTTAATATCARTGACAAATCCACTAGACCAGATGTCTTGGAGTGTACTATTTTACGAACTGGCTCCATGTCTTGGTGCTAACTAAAAAATCAAAGAAATGTTAAAATATAAGTTAATACATAGAAGTTTATCATTTTATTTAATTTAAGTTAAAAAAGATAACATTATAACATTTTTATTAATTATAATTTATAAAAAATATTAATACAAATAAATAGATTAACAATTTACTAAAATGATAAATAATGTTAAAAGGTTGGTATATTATTARAAATCCAATATTTATATACTGGATTATTGCCTACAATCACTAAAAAATAATAGCACACCTACTTTAATAATTTTGATAAAAATATTTACAATAGGTTCTACTCTTAAATTGATGTTAGCGTTGATATGAAATTAAATTGACAACCAAAACATTGTACTATATTTTATTATTTTATATCGAACTATGAAACAAAATATCTAACACTGTATAAAAAATCTTAAAACACATATTTTAAAGGTAAGTTCCTACTATAGATATAATTTTTATTAAACCTATTACCTAACCTTTTTATATTGATGTATGCCGAATAGTTTACAACCAGTGCATACCCAATATTACTACAGTTGATAATAGCGGTTGTACCAATGCTTACAATGGGTATACATCAAAATGTGCTTAAGAAAAAAGTCCTACACATATAATCTTAAATACCATAAATCTTGTATATCAGTAGGTAACTACTTTTTTAGACTTTAAACAYTGTTTGACTTTTGGTTGCATGTAATAATCAAATGCCTATTATTTCTTTTATCTTAATTATCTAGTTTGTTGAGTTTTACCCTTATAGCCTTTACATCCAATATTGTTAATATAGATAGAGATATCTATGGTGATGGGTATGTTCATTATGTACATATCGTACATGGGTAACTGAACAGTTTTAATTTTTATCAGTATAGTTTGAAATTTTGTTAAGTTTGTTAGTCGTGAGCTCTTGAAGAAAAAAATTTCAAATTTGGTCATAATATCAAATACATAATTAYTGAACTTTTTTCTAAATATATTATTTTAAACATTTTTATACATATACAATATAAGAATAATTTTAACGACAGTTAGTTATTAAACTGATAAGTCTTACTACTAGATAAACATTAAAATTATTGAATTTTTCATTTGAATCATTATGATAAATGATGTATATCTTTTTTGTATGAATAGTTTTGATTTTTTATAAAGGTAGGTAATGATACTAATTAAATAAATGGAACATAATAATTATGATTTATAATAATTTAATTTTTTTTAACAAATTATTTTGGATATTGTTATGTACATAATATACTCTGAACTTTTTAGGCATAGGACTTATCTACAGCAGACGTTTTATGCCTCAGACTTTTTGGTAGTAACCCATTATAAGCATTAGTTCAACCACTATTATCAACAGTAGCAATATTGGGTATGCACTGGTTGTAAACTATTTGTCATACATCAATATAAAAAGGTTAGGTTTAATGAAAAATTATAGCTACAAAATAGACTCACAAATATAAATGATACAAATGCAATAATATTGTGAAATAACATTTTATGAAACTTCATTGTTAGATCAGCAAGATCCACAAGTTTACCTTTCGTTTATAGTTCGTAATTGAAAATCGTGTAAGGCACAGTTTTGTGCTGTTGTTACGCCGAGGTCCGTCAACCGGACTTCATTTTTCATATGAAGAAGRCAGCCTTGTGGAGAGTTCACCGTCTCGAATGTACGATAACCCCGTGGCCCATGAATTCCATCGATTTTCGAATCAAACGACTTCGATGGAAAAATTATTGTTGTTATTATTATTATTATTATTTATACAATATCGACATAATTTTTTAAAATCATTCCGTGAATAACAATGATAACGCCAATGCGGCTACGAGAAACGCGCGTACCATACTATCACCAGGACACCGGCAAGGCGGCAACCACGAAACGGCAACGACTGAACGACGTAGACTCGGTAGTCGGTAGTCGTTAGGTAACGAGTGAGTTTCAACTCTTCCAAGCGAAAGTGACAATCGAGTCGACAGTGTAGAACCATGGAACAATAATGTAGAATGTAGAATTGTACAAAATATGGGRAATTAACGCGTTATCATCATTGTTACGTCTTGTTATAGTATAGGTACATAGATAATAAAGAATTCTTTATTATCTATGAGTACAGAGTAGGTACCGATTTCTGGTCGTTCCAACCAWCAGATCCTTTAAATAATAATTAATAAAACAAATTTAGTAGGCTTGGAAAATTTGTTTTAAATCCCTAATTCCTATGATATCACCGAAATTCTATTTTATTTAAGAGCCAAATGTTCAGTATTAATTGTCACATAACGTTAATAAAAAATGATAAGAACGATTAATTAAAAAGATTGTCTAATTAGTAATTTATTATTACTAATTTTGTTTTAGCCAGTGATGGATAATATATCTAGGATTTTGTTTTGTGGTTGTCCCATAGATAATAAAGAATATTATTATATTAATATATTATATATGGGTTGAAGGTTGAACCAACATTTTTCCAAACATTGAATAGGTATCTACATGTTTTTTAAGTCGATGATGAGATAATTTGTTGAGATTTTTTCTACTTTAAAGTATCTTCAGGCACAAAAATTAATTAAAGACAAATTATTTTGAAACCATTACATTAATTAAWGAGGTTCATAMAAATATTAGATAAATTCATTTTTAAAAACTTCAAGAAAAAAAAACTCCTGAGCTATCTGGCTTTTAATATACTTCCTATACGGGTAATCAAATTTATATCATTCTGACACRGATGTATTCGTTAACTTTTTTTTATCAAAAATACAAAATTGGAGTTTTCTCATCTTTGCATGGACAATGAATTCTAGTTAGTGGTGAGGTTAAGTTTCACTGCTACAATCAGAATCTAGTTAAAACAAAGTTTTTATTTAATATTAATTTAGATTATGTTTTTGAATTAAGTATTTTTTGTGTTGTTTGATTAGATATGTTAAAGTTAGTTGGTAAATATGTTCATCAAATTTTTTGTCAATCTCATCAAGTTGGATGACAATTCTTCTGCAAGTCTACACTGTAGAGTATGCTTAATAACAAATTATGGTTAAATGATACACTACTACAGTATTTTATGTTATTTTAAAGTTCAAAATTATCTGGGTTTGATAGCATACCTAGATTGCATGTGTTGAATGAAAATAACTACTAGAATCCTTATTTTTAATTATTGGACTTACAATCCCATAAAACCTACCAAAATTTGTAATATTTAAATTAAATTTAAAAAAATGGGAAGTATAAAACAACCATTTTACAGTAAGGACCAATCATACCTCAACATGACAATACCTTCTCAATGATTAAGTCACTTTAATGTATATTATGTTCAAGTTAAATTTAAATTCAATGATAAATTGGGAGTGTGTAAGAAATCCAAAAATATTATGCCTTAATAGCATTTCAGTCAAAAACAGTTTTATTAAACTTGCCCAATTAATCATTAGTTGGTACATATTTCAGTAGACTATTTAACAGATAAATATTTTTGGCTAAAATGCAGTTCGAATAAAATATTTTTCACGTGAAATACTTATTTTCAAATAATTTAAATAAATACTTTTTTTTATTTATAATTCAATGTTACTAGAGTAGGCACAGTTAAATAAGAAAAAATATGAAAAAAAAATAACTCAAATTAACAGGAAAAAAATACAAATAATTTAATTAAATGGGCATATTACTTAATCTCGAAATACATAATTGGTCACATACCACTAAAATTTAATAATTATTAAGTACAATATTGAATAAAAATAATTTATTAAATACATATACTTATATAATAACATTAAATCATATAACTATTAATATTAATCATTATTAATATAATGCTAACCGCTAGGTAAGAACAACCATTTAGTCATAGTTTATAAAAAAATATTTGCAAGATAATTTATTTAAACACAAAATAAGGTACAGTAATTTAAGAAATAACACAAGTCTAATAACACATAATTTAGATAGTTTGTTTGAATATGTAAATAATGTAATATACAGAGTTAACAAAAAAAAATAACTAATAAAATTAATAAACTAAAAATTTAAAAAAAAAACCCATAGTATTATTTTTTTATGGTTATTGATAATAATACTATTTTTAATTTTTTTTTTTATTAATTGAATTAGAAAAAGGGATTAGAGCTTTCCATAAAATAAATAATGACAAATAATATAATATAATAACATAGTTGATAAATTACATTTGAAAATTCTTTTAGTTACATTCCATATATTATGTATTCAATAATAATAGTTAAAATTACATAGGTACATTACACTTTTTAAACATAAAAATAATATTTTGATGTACATTATTTAATTTTGTGCAATTTAAACATAACATACAGAGATTAAAAGTCAATTTTAATCGATAAACATTGTAAAAATAATGAACTATCCAAGTACTTTTAAAAGTGCATAAATCTATGTTTGTTTTGATATAAGTTCTTGTTCCCGTACCAACATTGATTCTTTCTGATGTTCTCTTTGTAATGCTTCTCTTTGTTTAGCCACACGCAACACATTAGCTCTTTTCTAAATTATAATAATAGTATATTATTACGTTCAAATAATATAAGGTTTTAATTTTAATTAACTACTTATTCATTTTATTAAAGTTCACAAACATCATTTCTCAATAATATTTA